AAAATGGACAGATAAGAATGTAGAAAATTTGTATTGTCTTTTAACGCCTGTTTTATGCAAGGTTACAGCTCAAATGGTCTTTTTACAGCAATTCCAGGCACTGATTTGACGCTGAAGTAGTGCTAGATGTTGATAACTTACTACAATGGGTTACACACTTTGTTTTCAAATTTACAGAAGTAAATATAATAAACAGTGCTCCTCTCCAGTGTATTGTTCTCCTCCCAGGATTTGGTGACCAATACTCAATTGTTCACTCTACCTTGAGAAGTCTGTTCTCAGTTTACAACCACTTTAATGTGATGCCTTTATCAGTAAACCCTCTTTGTGAATTTCATGTGTTGTGGTGAAAATTAAACAAATACAGTGACTTTTGATCCCTAACGGTATGTAGATATTTACAATGTATTAACGATACATGGTTTGTTGGAATGTGAAACTCTACCGAATTCAGTGTTAGATGTTCAACAATTCTGGCATACTACAGCCTACAACATTGGAGGATTGATATTCAGCTTAGATGATATCGAACATGGTATATTGAGAGGTAAGAAGTCTAAATCTTTCACTGCTGTTATTTCATTGGCTGTATTCTGGTTGCGTCTGAAATTCACATGACAATGGTTCCCTGGAACTGGATTCTACATTTTACATCATAGTTGTAAGTTTTGATTTCGTGTTGACTGACAGATTTGACACTTTCAAAATCAATTTATTTTCTGAGAAAAAACATTTACTGTGCACCGTAACACTCACTCAAGCTGGGTGTATGACAGAAAGATGGCAACCAGATATACTCAAACCAGGGATACTCAATTTATGTTCTTGATTATGCACTGGTGCAATCCCAGTCTCTGAATTAGTTAGATGTGAACTAAGTGTCATTCTGGCTCCTGTAATTAGTTAGATGAAATGTGTTATCCCTTTTTTTAGGAAACAGACCACACCCTGCAGCTAATGATGCTCACTTCTCAGCTAAAGATCCCAGACTGAAATATTCCGTGAAACAAGTTGATCCTAGAATCCATTTTGCTTTAGTGTGTGGTGCTAAGGTAAGTATTATTGAAAGCAATCATCTTCCAATCTACTGATTGCTTTGTTTAAACTTCACCAACCTGTCAACAAGTCTGTCTCTCAATTACTAGTACC